CGCTCGTCCGTTCGCCCGTCCGTCCATCCGTTGATCTGTCCATGGCTGAACCGAAATTCTCAATGTTGAACTCCGCGACTATGTCCGGTTTTTTCGTTGCTACTTTGAGTAGGTGACGATGGCGGCTCCGGCCAGTGCAGCCGACATGGGTACTTCGGCAACTATGTTCGTGCGATGCTATTGCTGCTGATACAGCACCGGTCACTAGCGCTGCTTTGGCAGTAGACAATTTTCATCGTCTTTTTTTCTTATGATTTTCGTTGTTGTTTTCTGTTCGACCGCTCCTACGGACTGTTTGCTTCTTACCTTTCTTGCTCCGCTCGGTGCCTGCGCCTAAGGCCGCTCCTGCTGTTGCTACTGCTACTGCTGCCCTCTCGTCGGCTGGTGAGCCTTACGCAGTTCTATCTGCCGGCTATGGCCGAGTGCAACGCACGGCTGACCGACAGAGGGAGGGGGCACAGGCCAAGAAAAAGAAGCAAACGCAGCGTTAACTGAACAATGAACGCCTCTGCCCCGTATTCGTGGTCCCGCCGCTTTCTCTCCTCTTATATTAATGCCAGCACAGGCGACAGCAGCAGCAGTGGCGGATTCAACTGAACCAAGCAGTGGCCATGGCATCATTGCCAGCACGGGACCAGCAACAGGATCTAGTGAGAAAAAATCCACAGCTACCAACGCGTGCGTCTGTGATGCTGTTTGTGACGTAAGCAAGACAGCAGCGGAAAGCAACTCCGCTACCTGGCTCGACTGCGTGCTTCGCCTGCCTGCCTGTTTCTCTCTCAGACGGCTATAAGTGTGTTCAGTATATATATATATATATACACATCTATATGTGTCTCTGGATGTGTGTATGAACCTCAACCTGAGGCAACGGCAAGAAAGGAGCGAATAAGCCGGCATCAACTGGCTCGGGTAAATCCAGAACCGGCTGAATCCAGAGCTGGATCCGACATCGTCCCAAACTTCGTCACTGTCGCTAGTGGTGAGCAGGCATAAAGGCAGCAGCCACGCAATCGGCAGGTAGACAGGCAGGCAGCCGCAACGCCCTAGCAACCCACAGTAACTACGACAGTATATTTATATACTACTACAGACAGACATTCAAGTCGAGCATAGCCAAACCACAGCTAGAGGCGGACCCGACGAAGAGGCGATCCGGCGAAGCCGTCGACCGACCGACCAACCGACCGTCGATCGGTGGAGCGACTCAGAGCAGCAGAGAAGAACCTACAAAGAAGCACGAAGACCGAGAAGCGACCAAAAGAAAAAGACCGGAATGGTCGGGTAGAAGAAGATCCCCGTGGATTCAGCAGCGAGTTTGGTTAGCGACAGCAGCGAATGAAAGACTGGGATGACGACGGGGACGAGGAAGAAAACGAAGGAGGACGAGCACGAAGACGGCTGCGTAGCAGAAGCAGAAGCAGCGGCTGCTGCCGCCGATGTTGCTGCTGCTTCTGCTTTAAAAGAGAACGAAAAAGAAAAATGGGGAAGGGGAAGTCGGAGAAAGAACGGCGAAACGCCGAGGGGCCGGGTGGTGTGGCTGTTCTTGCCGCTGTTCAATTTGAGGACTACAGCGGCAGCGATGGAGAACTCGAAAAGGAGCGAAAAATCATGAGAGCAGTCGAACGCGAGCGCACCCGTTGACGGGCCCGACTGCAGAAGCCGATGACTGAGACTGCTTAGGCCTAGAACTCGGGGGAGGGTTACTATTGATAGTAGAACGGTGGCGATCGACAATTACGACGAAGTCAGAAAACCCACTAGCCGATCGGATCGCCAAGGCGACATCAAGCAGCGAGCGGCAACGACATGGTGGCCAGCAGCGGCCGTTCCCGAGATCTGCTACTGCCTCGCCGATCATCCTATATGGGAAAGAAGCGTCCCCTGTGCAAAATGACACAAGGATGACAACGTACGACAGTATTCATGCGGCCAAAATGACGGAAGACTTTATAGCATGTTGTATAAAGAAGCGTAAGCGACGTCAAGAATTGCAGTCTAATTCTCGCGGACGACAGTGTAAAGGAGGTACTTCTTACGTTACATATATCGTTTAAGTTGCGCAATTCGTACACGTTAGAGGGCGCATTACTTGGTAGCCTACAGTATACTTCATGCGAAATTGAATCTGAATACAATTTTTCTTTTTCAGCGAATACGCGTATTCAAGTCCAACTTATTTTTAAAGTGTAACGGAAAAAGCGCTCAAATGCATTTCTGTTCAAACTAACGAGCACCTTTACTTTCTTCGTGGGGGTATCGACCCTCGAAAATTGGATACGTTTGATCGAGTTAATGGTGCATTGGCTTAGAAAATCGTCTGCTAAGCTCATGATTCTGAGACTCTCAACAACTGACATAACCCCTTCAAATTGCTAGTTAGTCAAGAAAGCTGTTTTAACTCTAAAAGGAGTGACTCAATTCCTTTGGCTTCTGGTTATTTCTAAAACGTTTTTCTTTTGACCGACGTGCTTTAAAAGATGGCTCAAAGTATTGTTAGAGTCTAGTAAAAACGGCATTGTAATTAGGCAAAAATGTGCACCTAAATACTATATTTGTATGTATATGCATGTATAATGATACGACGCATCGGTTAGCTGAACGCTTTTTGAACCTTGCCTAAAATGTATTGTTTTCATGAGTACTAGGGCCTCCTTTGATACGTTCCGTGGGTTTGAAGACCGCTGATATTCTGTTACATCTCTTCGTGTGAGAAAAACCCTCTATCACTGCTGAGATGTGAATCGCACATTGTGGAATATTTGGTGACATGTACCCAGTCGATCCATTTAGTTTGACTAAAAACAATCATAAAGCAATATATTGATTACTTATTTAAAACTTGCTCAAGCCAATTGTACCGCCTGTTCGTAAACAATCATATGATAATTAAGTGCGTTTTCAAAATGGCCAGAAGTGTGATACGTACGGGTAATTTAATTAGCTATTTGTTCGATGCACCTGTTTCATGACAACACCGGTGCACTCCATACGACACAAAAACTACAGCGACCTAGAATAACTAAGAAACGTACATTCTACTCATATATGCGTTAACCGATGTTGCATTTTCTACGGATCGTGTTATGACGCAATTTTCATCGTCAAGACCTAGCGTAGCAGCAAGAACCGTATCGGAATAACAGCGGTTATGCGTAATATAAGGTCTACCCCTAAACCCCCTGACTTAGTACTATTTCCTCTCCGGGGATTCACATCACGCCGTTGATCCATTTTAGCCTCACGCAAGGTTTAGTGATGATCCTACCAAGTGCACATATTTGAGTTCGGCTTTGTTGAAGAAGGCTGTGTTGTCATCAGTGGTGGACTATTTCCTTTTTTTATATCCTAACTACAAATTTCGGAACCTTCTTGCCCTGCCCTGCCAGCGCAGCCCTATTTGTAGCATCACTGAACTTTATGTGATACTTGTATATATAACCCGCTGGTGCAAGCACCGAAACAGTTAATGAGATTTTTAAAGTAAAAAGCGCTACGGGAACGTTTTCTGCTTTATGTGTAAGGCTTTGTTTGTAGCCGTTTGCTGTTCCCCCATCGTTTGCAATATTTCCCGTTGCTCATTCACACACAGTGTATGTATTATTACACGCAGCATTTAAATACATCGTGTTCTGCTGCTTCACAATCAGCAGCGTTACTGTGACCCAACCTTCGGACCTCGGCGCTCAGCCTGACTGAAGTATAACAGCGAGCGGTTTCTCTCTGTCCTTAACAGACGAATCAGTGGACAGACGGGAAGGCAAGTGTTCGCCAGTTTCTTTTGGCCAAACGTGCGGGGCACTAACAGAAAGAAGAAAAAAGACAGAAGGCCCTATACAATATTTATAGGGCTGACTGCCCTACGACCGTCTGCCGTCGCAGCAGCAGTTCTGAGCTACCGCTAACAGCAGTAGCATCACCGCAGACATCATCACTGCCGCCGCGTCTACCGCCGCCCTTACTGTCGCTGCTGCCGCTGCTGCTATAATATTAATGATATCATCATAACGGGGCTTGTAGTAACGGCGCAGTCGGAGGTTACCAAGTATGGAAACAGGAGTATCAACTACACAGAGCTACTACGGACATTGCGGCCACTGAAACGATACCAGCAGCCACTGTGATACAACGACAACTGCTACGATTAAGTCAGCCGTCGGTTGTACGTGGTATCGCCGCTGCTGCATTTCGGCGTCGGTCGGCCGGTCGGTCGCTTAGCCGTTACCGTCTGGTTCCCCAGGCCCCGTTTTTTCCGGCCTGCCTAGACATCTATGCTTGCTTGCTGCTGCTGCTGCTGCTGCTACTACTAGAACCGCCTAGCTTGATGAGTCATTGGGTACGAAAATTTTTATTGAATTTTTAATTAGATCTTATTCATCGTCGAAATATCCGCCCAACGGACTCGGACTCTATCTATCCCGCCCGACAGCTCGGCGGGGATGAGAATGAATATAAGAGATCGACACGCGGCGAGGGAGAGATAGAGAGAGAGCGCGCGAAGGAAATTGGTCAGAATGACGAAGTATAAAGAGCGAGAGAAAGTGTGCCGCTGAACAGCATTGTCCAGTTGTATATATTACTAATAACATGGTGATATTAAGCGAGGTACGTACACTGATTTTATGTGAAGTGCTGCAAGTAAGCTAGAAAACTTAATAGATTCACATCAAATACCGCGCCGAGCTCAATTAAGCTTACCGGCTTAACGTAACTTGCAAGTACTATCTTATGGCTGGCTCGCTGCAGGTTGCTGTTTGATAGAATAACGGAAGTTCTTTTTTTTTTTACAATGTGTCTATACCATTCCTGGTGATTCCATTTACATGTGGCTCATACAGTCCTTACCAGCTGTACATTAAATATAACGTTTAATCCTTTCGAAATGACATCGTTTCGCGCTGTTTTGAGCTACAGATTTTCCAATATACAATACAGAGAAAATCGACAATATGATGAGAAAAAATAAAGTAAACTTTATTTTTATCCATACGCTTATCGTGTGTTACTAGAGCGCAATAAGCTACGAACGCCGAGCAAACGCTGCAGCGTAGCAGTTCCCGCTGGCCAAGTGTTTGCCAGGCCATACGACGTGCCGCATCGCTTGGCAAACGACCATCCGTTCCAAAACAGCATCGCGGGCGAGCTGCCATCAGCAATACAGGTCGTCGACGTTAGCAACGCCTCGTCTTGCCTTGCGTGCCGGTGCATTCCTTTGTATAAGTAGGAGTAAAAAAAGAACAGCAGCAGTCGCTCGTCGCTGTAGTGACATCATTCCGTCCCGTTTGCAGGACCAAATGAGTACGACGGGATCATCACCTTTAACCCGCCCTGAGACGAAGGCTACGATGGAAGCGCCATCGACAGCCGCCGAGGCGGCTACACCAGCAACTGCGACGGCGTCGGCAACCCCGAGGTGGTCCATCAGTGCAAAACGCAGTGGTCCAATGCAGCTCGAAGCGTTGTGGAAAAAACAGGAGTCTCTGAAACTCCAACACGTGCGCGTAAAGTCACGAGGGAAAATCAAGCAGGATATCGCGTTCGTGACTCTTGGTTCGGATCGGGCCTTTTGCAGGTTTAAATGTATCCCTGGTAAGCATGTGGCACAGATAAAGCCCTTTTTGCCATAACATAAGACGGCAATAGATCCATATATGTTGAGATATAGTAGTTGATTACGTTTTTGGGGCTCTTCTAGTTTTGCATCATTCAATGTTCAGCGACGGTTTCGTACCCGATCAGGTGTACCCGACCCGCATAAGGATACAGGTTTCATAACCATGATGTAACTTATGTTTAGGGGATACAGAATGGTTTGAGATTTCTAGAAGCTAACGAATTTTGCTGCGAAGAAACATAACCTTTATATAAGCAGAACGGGTACGACAGATAACGACCCCCATCTAATTTAAAATTCGACTAGCGCGAACGCATTGAATTAGGCAGTGAAAAGTTCTCTAGTTTATGTTCGCATGTAGCTACAAGATATACTATTTGTTCATATTTATCTTCCGACCAAAAACACCCTTCATATGCACTACCCGTGTTCTCTGTCAATGGCTGCTGGCGTAGTTGTCACTAAAATCGATGCAGACCGGTAGCGAAGATAGGAGCCTCAACTGATCCCGTCACTATTTCGACAACGGTGACGTTGCGCAAATCGAACTCGAGTCCGTGTTGCCAGGAGCCGTAAGAACGACAGTTGCTGGATAGGAGCGCGGTTGGTAATCCGCGTGCTGCGATTTCTGAAGGAGCACGGACAAGACGGAAGCTAACGATGACAACGGTGAAGGATACAGAGGGAAATGACTCTGCGTATCAGTGTTATGAGATTTATAACAGATTCTCGAACATCGCTAATAATAATGATGCTACTACAATCCATATAGATTAATTACGTGTGATGAGGGGCAGTCGAACGTCGGGAGTCGAACGTGGCAAACGGGGTGCGTTGTAACCTCACAGTTCATTGGGTGCGGTGCCAGCGGTAACAGTGACGATTCGATATCGAATAATTCAGTTATTTGGAAGGAACCGCACGACGACGACGACGACGACGACGACGATGATGATGATGATGATGTGGCTAGCCAATAAACCATGTCCACTATTGAACACAATAGAGGACTCCCTCACAGTCCCTGATGTCCAACGCGAATACCACCTATAAAGTAGGTGGTGTGACTGAGGTCGAAGCAAATACGAGAATCATAACTAAACATAATAGCATTGTATTAATAGATATGTATAGGTTTTAAATAGATGCGAGCGTATTCGTTAGCGTAAAAAAAGTGGTCTGCGTAAGTTTATTACGAGTGAAACATTGCTATAGTTAGCAAATATCCAGAATCCTACACTGGTTCTTAAGATGCACTGGCTGGGAAGCTACGTGGGGCTTGATTCCGAAATCCGCTTTTTAGCCATGTAAGTTCGAATAGTATACAGCGTAGCTTGAGTTTTAGCCAGCTGAAAACGCACTGTTCAGTCCATAACACAATGTGCCTCACAAGGGTAAGTGTAGACTTGTCGTTATTTCAATTGTACGAAGATTCATTGCGCGTGTATAGCTGGACACGATATCTTCAGTTCACCTTATTTGCTATCGTGGCTGTCAGCCTTAACCGCACCGGATTTGTCCTGGGAGCTTTGGCTAACCACCCCTGGCCGGCCAGCACTAGTTATTAAACTCATCGTCATCCCCACACATAAATAAACAAACAGATACCGTCCATCACCGTGCTCTTACCGCAACCGCAACTAGTACAGTTTCTGAAAATCTAGTTCAAGAAAACAACAATAACAACGCACACGGATGGATATCTCCCCAAGTTGCTTTTTTTGCCACGGGAAGGTCCCTAGTGTAAAGACGTAATGGCATCTTAGATATGCGTATATGTAAGGCAAAAAAAATCATTAAATTCATTTTAACTTGTACATATATGGCTACTGGAACCCTTAATCCGTAGATAGGTTGCGTGCAAGACGGTGCTCAATGTACACGATGATATTCCCGTCCAGAAGTACAACAGTGGACGTAAAGATCAGCGATGTCAATAGACGACCATAGTCAAATGTACAACGCACTGTTCTAGCCGCAACGTTACCACCATCTTACTGCTCATTCTCGACTAAGTCGAATGAAACGATTATACTCGCCGACTGATGAAGTCACATAAATCGATGGACCGACAGGCAGATGGATGGATGGATATGAATAAATCTCTAGCTGCATTTTCCTTTTCTGTCTTCTTCTCGCAATACGAACGTCTTCTGCGATTTGACTATCGTCACATCTGTCGTTCGTCACAGTGACGCCATTGTGATTACAATGCTGTTTCGTTGCTGAGCTGCCAGGGCTGCTTCTAACGATGCTTGCGGTGGTCGTCCATCGCTCTGATATTGCTGATTATGGCGCCTGTGACGGTACTTTCACGATGGAGTTGCCAAGGTGTACTGCTGCTGCTGCTGCTGCTGGTGACGCTATGGGCAGCGTATACGCACTAACCTGTACTTATGTAACCTTACTAACCTGTGTAGCAGCGTCAAACGCCCCCAACAAGATTAAAAACAGCGGAAATGGCAACAACAGACCAGTGGTGATGCTGTTCTCTGGCGCGGCAACATCGGTGGTAATCTTTTAGCAATGTTACTAGCGTCCATGTCGCCTCCGTTGCCTAATCTCCTCCATCAACGTCATATCATTTCTTTCCCCTTCCTTTTTTTGCTGGCCAGTTGCTGGAGTTGCTGCTGTCGTCGCCGTTGTTGTTAGTGTAAGCGCTATTCGTTTGCCCGTCGTTCTACAGCGTGAAGAAGTCAACGGAACTCTAACAGCTCTGGCGTGGTAGCTACTAGAACATCTGCGACAGTTATGTCAATGTCTTCGTCGAAGTTCTCGCCGATTTCTCACCATCAATGAAGATTATGGTCGTGCTCGTGGCTGCGATGCCGATGATCTTGATGGCGTTGGGAAGCACAAGGCCGTTGGTGATCACAATGATGTTGATGTCGATGTCGATTATGGCGGCTTGTCTGTCGACTTCGTCTTTCTTTTTTATTCTGAACCGCGAGAGGGATGATACGAGAGGCTGTTTTTATCAATTCGAAAGAAGATAGTGGCGACCGCCTAAACATCAAGCCGACGCACTCGTAGGTCACCACTCTAATTCCGCTTCCGTAATAGCTGCGACGAAGGTTTCAACTCTGTCCACGGCCACTACCGAAAAGTCGTCGCTCATCATCAAATATGGCCGTCAACAGTAAGAGAAATAGTGACAACAAAAATAGATATCAAACGGTAACGCTGTTATCGCAGTACACCCGTCATTACCTGTTCCCAGCAGACATAAGTTGCTCTCATCCAATTTCCTTTACCTTTATTTCGTTTCACAAATTTCTTTCATGTAACAGACTCATTGATATTACAAATAATTTACCATTTCTAATTCGTGCTACGTACCACTATCAAAATCTACTGTTATAGGCGCAAAAAGATAATCCCGCGTTAGCTGATACACCGGCAAACAGCATGGACCTTTCTCTACCGCCGACGACAAACTCAACAATCTACAATGTGCATTCGCTGTACACGGTGGTCATTCTAACAATAACTATTGCTAGAGCCAATAGCACGGTTTCCTCGCAAAACCCCTCAATGCGTTCGAGGAGAGCAACACATGGCCACTGAGCATCCAATAACATCAAGAGTTGCGTTCAGACCGGACGCTGGTTCGAGCTGATTGTCGCACCTTCGTTCGGGTGACTGAATTGCTTAAGGCCTACTATCCTGGTTTTAAAGATGCCGGTGGTGAAGTTCTGCGAGGTTAACTCCGGCTCTGCGACGTATTCTCGCGTTCACATTGCAAGGGGTCGTCGAACACCCCTAAAATATCACAAAGCGCGTATTATGCACTGTGTGATCAATGCGCGAGCCTGTATATCTGTGAGCATGGTTCTGCGCTATATGTATGCGTGTCTAGCGTTATGGCTGGCACAGTTTCAATAGATCCGGCGACCGCGGGGGTGAAAGAAGGGACCAGACCTTATGGATGAATACGAGAAATATGCACATGCGTTCACATTCTTGCATGGAAACTATATGTACGGCTAACCAACGAATAGAAAGCGAATGTCCTGCTACCAAAGAAAGGTCGAAGAATAAAGATCAGACGCGTACACAGAACCTCACTATCAGTCGGTACCGTCGAGTTTCTGGATTAGATGGGGGTCAGTCTGCCGCTTGTGTTGCGAGAACGGCGTACCAGCACAGTAGAAGTGGGTTTAGTTATAAGTCGGACACATTCACATGGGAACTATATATATATATATATATATATATATATATATATATATATATACAGACAAAATGGCAAAATACATGAATTACTCATTCAACGCTGTGCTTCACTCTTATAAGTGTTTAAATACTCTGAAATTATGTTCAGAAGCTTTTTCATTTTCCTGTGTTTAATAAGAGCTATTATTTTACACATGTAACTAAAATTTCGATTTTTCGCGCGTTACAATCTAGAATTATTTTAGTACGTGACTAAATAATAGTATAGTCAATCATACACTTTTTGTGGTGAACTGATAAATAAGGTCCTATAGGATGCGTAATACCATCCAACTAGCAACAACTTTTCCAAGTAAGAAGAAGAAGAAGAACTTTTTCAAATACTTATCTGTTGATGGTTGAATATTTCCGCAAGTTTTATTTTGGGTTTGGGTATCAAAGATAAGCTTGTCAAGTGAATCTGCGACACTGACTTTTCGGTAATGTCAAGAAGCAACCCAGGACATTTTTCCAAGGTACCATGAAGACTTTACAGCTAGGATATAAGAACGTATCTAGTAATCATCTTCTCTGAAAAAGACAGTCCTCGTCAAATCGTCGTACAAATATCGATAAGGTACGTTTTTAGGCCGAAAGTGCCATGTTTGAAAGTAGTAAGTTATTTTTAACAAGTACAATTAACAATAGTTTTTAGCGTATGCGTCTTATCAATTTAGGATTGTTTCGGCAGCTCTGGGACCGTCGCGCATAACGAATAATAACGTAATAATAAAAGTTCTGTTATGCGACCATTTTGTATCTATTTTCAGAGTTCAGACTCAAAAATAAAAGCTTGTTATCTGAACAACACGATAGCATTGGGTATAAACAAAAAAATAACGAAAAAAAAAATGTAAAACAATAATAAATCGCCATTACTCTCCCAGCAACCTACTTTATGTGTACATATTACATATGTGAGCTATAGTGATCTAAGACTGGAGAGATTCAACGCTGAAGACTTCGTGAAACTTAAAAAGCTGCCTACTTATTTAAGTTCCACGCAAAAATTGCTAAAGTGAATTTTCGGAAGACGTCGATTTGGACCATGGAGTTCAACATAGTATTGAATTGTTCATAGTTCAACATAGGTTTGAGATAATAGTTGTATGTTTCTAAAGCATATCGGAACTTTCACTAGGCTCCTTCCGTAAGTACCCTAATATTTGAAAATTAGGGTCTAATTTTAGGATAACGGAAAGGTCTTAAGGAAGTAGTGGAATAATAGTATCCCTATATGACGGGAACCAGAGGTAAAATCAGGTAGGCGTATCGGATATTTGTTTTAGGGTCGCATTTGTTTTAGGGTAGGGGAACACGATAGTAGAAGATCTATATCAGAGAAACTAAGCAGTCGAAACAGTAACCAAAGCAATGCGGTTGAATTGCTAAAATAAACTATTCAACTAATTGAATGATCCACATTCTACAGTGAGTTTACTATACAGAAATGATAGTAAAGATGTCGCGTAACACTGGAACAACAGAAGCTGTTGTAACGGGGCAAGTGAACTAGTCCAGCCAAGTGGGTAGCATACAACGGATCCGACTTCAGAGGTCGGGTCAGAGCTCGTTGCACATTTGGCTGAGAACAGCAACAAAGTAATATTGAGTAGCGTTTAGATCTTGCTTATACGGATCATCTGCGAGAAATAGACAAAGAGGGTTGCAGTACTCGTACGTTTAGAGCGGGCCGATGTTTTGTTCCTCAGCCCCTATATCGTACGTAGCATAAGATATGGTACGCACCATAATACATAGTTCGATATCTATCGTGTCTTCTGATACCTTGTAGGAACACTAGTTTTGTTCCTA